TAATGTTTTGGGGTTTTTTGTGCTGCAAATTAAACCTATGCTTCTGTGCACACAAGGCGATGCTCTATTACTGAACTACATTTGCAGACCAAATTTCTTTAACATGAGGAAACATCACAATACTGAAATAACAAAAGCTCTCCCTTAGAAACTAAGAAATGATGTTTGCTAGTTCTGCTTAGTTCAGCATGTTAATGAAACCCAGGCTAATGCAAAAAAAAAAAAAAAAAAAAAAAGGCAAAAGTGTGGCATACAGATTGGAAATCAAGAAACAGTATCACCGTTTGGAGGTACCATAATTACAAGGATAAAAACTGTAAAATTCTACAAATTTTAAAAAGCAAATTAAAGGGCCAGTGAGATAGCTCAGCAGACTAAGGGCCTGCTTAGGTAAATGCAGAGACCAGGGTTTGATCCCTGGCACATGACACACCAGCACTCCCACTCCCCAACCCCTGCTGGGTACACTGAGCTAGCCACTGAGTCTGGGTGTGGTGGCCTACAATTATAATCCCTGTGCTGGGGAGGCTGAAAACGGGGATCACTATGAGTCCAAGCTGCATAGTAAGACCCTATATGAAATATAATAAAAGAGAAAAGTAAAACAAAATAAAAAGTAAATTTAGCAAGGTTGCAAGGTGAAAAAATATTATAATGTGTTTTTATGCATAGCAAGAATATACAAGTAGGAAACAAAAAAACTCCTTATAGTTTTTTAAAAATGGGATTCTTAGGAATGAATGCAGTTGAGAGGTATGTGAAATCTCCATGGACAACAACAAAACAATTAAGTTATACCACAAAGTACTTAGCCAGTTACAAATTAAAGACAGGAAGTACCCTGAATCACACATACTTATGGAAGGATTCAATGGAGTGTAGTGGTGACACCCAAATTCTTTCTCATGGAAAGATGGGGTCAACAACCTCTTCCTTTGAATCTGAGCGAGCTTCTCACCACTTCCACCAATGCATCACAGCACAAATGACACTGTGTGACTGCAAAGGCTGGATCATAAGAGTAGGAAGCTCACTCCTCACTCTTGAAATACTTGATCTCCGGACATCCCTTTTTGGAGCTGGGCTGCCTGTCATATTGACAGACACCAAAGGCAGGCACCAAAACTGGCCATCAGAAAGCTTGTCAGCATCCAGACCACCCAGGCACCAACGTGAGCTGCTAAACTTCAGGCCCTGTAAACGGCTCCCTGGTGAGACCCTAAGCACCAGGCAGCAGGCAGTGCCTGCTCTACCCCATCCCAACTCCTGATCCAACAGAACCCAGGAGCATAATAAAACTGCTTGCTCTTTTTCAATGCTGAAGTTTGGGGTGATGTATCATTTTGCAAGTAACCCAAACCAAAACATGTTAACTTTATACATTCAATGCAGTCCCAATTAAAATTTCAGCAGGAGAAATGGGAAAACAGATGCTAAAGTCCTATGAAGCTTCAATGGACCCAAATAGTCAAACCAATAATGTAAAAGAACAAAGAACAAGGTCGGAGGACCCCTACTTCTTCATTGAAAGATCTACCAGAAGCTACACTAATCACAGCATGGGGCACTAACTGAAGACACAAGTTCACATGGGGAGAATGGAGTGTCCAGAAATAAATCTCAACAATACTGAGACCATTCGAAGGGAAGTAAGTCTTTTCAGCAATTTTTTTGTATCACTTCAATCTTTTTGGCTGTCATCCAGGACCTGGGATTTGAAAATTTCCCCTAAGTGATAGCACTGTGTCTGCTATGTTAACCCACATAGAAACAAGGTGATTTTGGTTATCATCAGAAAAACTGAACCATGTTGGTTACAAAGTTAAAGTGCATATGGACATTATTCATCATGAAAGAAAAGCAATGATTAGGGAAGACAGCCATTTTCACAAATGAAGTCAGATGAATCTCTGCTGCTGTCTCATGTGTACAATGTAATTTCCAGAATAAAGAGAAGTGTAAAAAAACGAGAGGGTTAGGGCACTGCTCAAAACAAAGTGGGGGAGGGAGGGACAGAGAGACAAAGGGAGGGAGACAGAAGGAGGAAGGGAGAGATGGGAGGGGGTTGAGAGGGAGAGGGAGGGAAGAATGAAGGAGGGAGGGAAGGGGAGACAGAGGAGGGATGAAGGAGGGATGGAAGGAGGGAGGGAGGAACAGAGAGGGAATGAGGGAAGGAGAGACAGAAAGGATGGAAGGAGATAGATGAGACAGAGATGGGAGACAGAGAGAAGCACACTGAAGACATTCACAAATAACCTGCATTTTCTTTCTTTACAGCACTCACCATTCACACTGAGCTACAGTACATTCTGAGCCTTTCAAAAATTTTGAGACATGGTCTTGCTCAGTTGCCTAGTCTGAAAATGAACTGGTGTTCCTTCCTCCCACATCCTCCAGAGTACACAACGCCTGGCTGCTTGCATTACATTTTAGGGGTACTAAATTGTCTCACATGACTTACAGAAAAAACTATGACAATTTTAGTTTATAACTGAGTGATAGAAATGTTTTTTAGAGCTGGGGAGATAACTTGGTGTAAGTGCCTGGCTGGCAAGCACAAGGTCCTGAGATTCATACCCAGTACTGCAAAATAAATTAATTAACACTAAAAATTCAGATTACTTTTACGTTAATAACCATTTCAAAGATTTATACAGCCAGGCATATAAATGTGGTGGTGCATGCCTGTAATCCCAGTACTCAGGAGGCTGAGGCAGAAGGATCATTGTGAGTTTGAGATTAGTGTGGGCTACAAAGTGAGCTCAAGGCCAGCCTGAGCAGCATAGCTCAGACCTTGTCTCAAAATAAACAAACAATTTACACAAACTAAAGAAAGAAGCAGCACTGTTCACAGTTTAAGCACACTGAAGCTCTACATATATGCCCATGCAAAAGCACTTAGCACACTGACTTGTTGGGAAACAGATGAGATACAGGACTGATGATGCTACTGCAGAACTCGTCTTAAACACATCAGTTGGATTACTCAGTCCTGTTCAAACAGACTACCAATAAACAGACGTACAAATAGCTCCATGACCAACCCCCCTTCAATCTGAGAATATTCCTCATCTCTACATTTTAAATGATACACAACAGGGGGTGGGGTACAGCTTAGCAGAGCTCACACAGCATGTGGGGAGCCCCAGGTTCCATCCTTGACAGTGACAAAGAGAAATGTAATGCTACAATATGTTCTCATCATCCATTTTTTGATGTTTTTTTAAAATAACTCAATTATTAACTCCTCGGGTTGCCCTTGGGCTCTTCCTGTGTGTGGGGTCCTAGTATCCTTTGGTCCTTCAAAATGGATAATGTATTTGATTGACAAAGTCAATGTTCAGTTTTCCCATCACTTTGGGGGAGGAGTGGCGAGAAATAGAATAAAAACGAATAATTACATACAATTGAGACAGGCATATGTCTAAACTTGTACTTCAGCAGGCATACAGGGCCGGCCAAATAGCTCAGCAGATTAAAGCACCTGCAAGCAGATGCAAGGGACAGGGGTTTGATCCCCAAGCTTGCAGTGCCGACCCTGCCCCCAGGGCACATTGAGACAGCAATTGAGACTGGGTGTGGTGGCACATGCCTATAATCCCAGCTCTTGGGAAGCTGTAAACAGGCAGATCACTACAAGTCCAATCTAGTAGTGAGACCCTGAACACCCTGTAGACCCTTCCCTAAAATACAAAAAAAAAAAAAAAAAAAAATTTATCAGTTTTGAGACAGTTGGGGATGGTGACAAGGTTGTCTTTGCACTTGTACTGATTGCAAGTGGCACTTACAGATATCCAGAATCCAATTTGAAATCTGCTTTCCTGCTAGGCCTGGAAACACGGAGCACTCCAGGAGGTGGGTCCTTAAATACTCAAGGTGGCAAGGTCCTTCAACTAATGCTTAAGGAATTTAGTTTAAAAAGTAACTGATGACTAGCATCCCCAGTGTGGTGAGCTCCCTGATCGCTGTGCCACTATTACATTTTGGGTTAATGACGAGGACTCATTCCTTAGGTGTCTGATGGTAACACTTCCTATGTAAGCAGACAGTTAAGCAAGTTTCAAAAACTTTAATAAAGGGGAAAGACGCTTCCAAAAATATATGACAACAAATTAAAGCTTCAAAAAATAAGTGAAAGATACTCAAGAAACAAAGCCCTCTACTATCAAAATGTATCAAAGATTTAAAATTTTCTGAGGCGAGTGTTCCGAGTCAGGGCGAATGTGGCTATAATAAAGCTAGAAGAGTAAATTACTCATGATATGGTTGTGTTAAGACATCACTTAACATAGTTGCCTTTTAAAGCCCCCATTTTCTTAAACATTCATTTTACAACTTGTAAATTCTTTTACATTCATTCATACAGATTTTGTGTTTAATAATACTGACACAGGATCAAAGAATCAAGTGACTTCAACGCTCTGCTAGTAACTACATCCCAGACCTGTGACACTCAGAGCTGAAGAGTGACCAGGACAGCTACAACTACACTTAGAAATCACACACTCGAATTTGATGTTCATGTTAAACACTAAAGAGATGTCTTTTTCTAAGTGAAAACATTAGAACTTTTTGGTTTAAAATCTAGAAGAACAATTTATTTATTTATCTTTAGCTATCAATTTATAAAAACAGAGGGAAGCATCATTTAAATATTTTTGGTAACTTCTATAGTAAAAATATGATGTTTCAAACTCAGATGGTATTCTAGTTTAGAAATTCTAGATTTTTAAATGTTTAGAAATATACTTCTGAAAATAATCCATCTTACATGTGTGCTAAAAGAAACCCCAACTTCTTTTAAATTCTCATCTATAGCAAGGGGCCAGGGCAAATTATCTCAGACAGGCAATTCAGTAAAGAGATGCTAACAAAAAGCAAACTGATGTATCAAGTGTAATGGTGATTAATACCCAATAAGGTAGATCTCGTTTTCATGAGAAATTTTATAGGTTTGATCCTTAGTTACAGATAAGCAAATTTTAATTAATCAAGACAAATAGTAGAAAAAGCATTTTATTTATATGGAAAAAGCTACTGTAAGATCTGTAAAAGGTGTCAATATAATATTGCCTATACAGAGAAAAATTCAAATGTGAATAGCAACAAATAAAAGTTACATATCTTCCTACTTAGCAGTGCAATTAATTCACATTTTAATAAATTTAAGTCAAGTATAACAAAAATCAAAACAAGTGTTTCTCCATAATCAGTATACTGAGAATTACAGTGTAAAGTTCATTTCAGGTTTAAGAAATCTGCAATCAATCTACAGAATATCCTAAGACAAGGGAGACACAGTTAATTCATTTAATTATCAGCGGTTTGGGGTTTTCAATACTGTTCACAGGAAAAACATAATGAGTTGACATACACGTAAATAGAATATATTTAGTCTATACAGTAAAAAAATACAAATTATAAAGTGAGCTAACAAAGAATGAAATCTGAATACAGATTTATAAAAGTGACGACTTCTCAGACAACACATACAGTATTTCTTATGTAAAAACATCTAGTTTCAGCAAAAAATAATTTGGTTGCTTTTCAGCTGCACTGTAGATCTTGTAAGCTGAAGACGCATGTGTCCAAGTCCCTTAAAAACCACGATAAATGTCCTCCTTGATACATACAAAACGATAAATGCTCTCATCACAGTCTGAAGGGTATTTTTGGAAGTTTTCGTCTTGCTTCAGAAATACATTTAAAATGGGTAAAAACCAAAGGGTTTCATGATACAATGAAACAGTAAATAGTGCTCAATTTACTGCTAAGGTTGAAAAAAATCTAGATTTTACAGTACTCTGTTATATAGGAAAGGTTTTTTTGATTTTACATTGCATATTTCTGAGTCCATTCTCTTGCATGTCTGTTGTATCTGTAGGCATACAAAAAACATAGTAAAATATACAAATCTAACATTTCATAAGTACTGCCTATGAGAACTACATGTTCACCTTCTCATGCCTTTTGAGATGGAGTCTCATGTTGCCCCAACTGGCCTTGAACCTGGAATTGTTCTGCCTCAGCCTCCCACGAAGCTGGGGTTACAGGCATGTACCTCACACCCAGCCCCTCTCACGCTTACTGGCAATAACCATACCTACACAGACCACTGAGGAAGTGTGACAAAGACTCCTGCATGGATAAAATAGAAAGCTCAAGGTTTTTTTTTAACTCACAAATTATCTGGAAAGTCATACACAGATGTACTTAAAATATAAAAAAGCAAAACATAGAAACCAACCTGTAATAGAAATCTATGAAAGCCAACTCTGGGTATTATCTGCAAAGTGTAAATAAACTATGGTCAAGTAGCTTTCACGCAGCTTGACAATAAGGTTGGTCCAAGTAGGTAAAGAGCTCAATTCCCTTCCCAGGAAGAGATAAGAACACAATAGACAACCATCTCCATTCACTCAATTATTTCATTTATAATCCACTGCCTAGAATTATAAGTAGATATTGTGCAAATGCTACACATGCACTACTAAACAATAAATGGAAAAAGCCAAAAATTCTCTATAAAAAGAAAGGTCTACTTCACTAAAAAGATAAATTTAAGCATAATTAAATGTACTTAAAAATATAAGGATAATATCCCTGGCAGACTGTACAGAGATACACTCAACTGGAAATTAACAGAAATGAACACTTACTTTTCTTTGTCTGATTTATAGATTTGTGCAATATCTGGTACTAAGGGGTCATCTGGATTAGGATCACAAAGTAGAGAGCATATGGACAATAAAACTAGATTTAAAAGAGAACACTGTATTAGGCAATGATCCTTCTACTGTACACAAGTTACATATGAAAATAACTTTACCAAATATAGGTAGTGAAATTGTAACAAAAAATGAAAATATTTGCTGGCTAATACTGATTTTTAAAATTATAAAATTATTATAAAATATATGATAAAATAATATTTTTTGAAGTTTTACTCTATTTGAAATTTTTTTATTTAAAACTGTGAACCTCTAAAGTAGTATTAACTTCCCTGGCAAGCACAAGGGCCCGAGTTCAATCCCCGGTTCCACAAAAAAATAAATAAAAAAAATAAAGTAGTATTAACAACCTTTCAACTAAAGAATGCTTTACAAAAATATCAAATTATAATTAACAGTTTCAATCATTTTGGACATTATATGGCATTTTACTTTAGTTAAGCACAGACTATTTCAAAAGGAAGATTTCCAAGTTTTTTCTTGATCTTTTGTTCCATGTACCTTATTTGTGTTACATGCACTTAAGAATAATGTGAACTATCAATATATAACTTGTATATTAAATATAAACGAATTGCAGGACACTGGTTGCTGTCCTAAGCCAAGACCCTGATGGACACAGTTGCAGGTGGGAGCCACACCCCTGGCCCTCTCCTCTGCTGCGCACACACGCTGCAGCGGACGGAACCTCCGAACAGCCTCCCACTCACGCCTTCCTTCCAATACTATGCTCCTTTACCTTTCCTGCTCTCTCTAGTTCAGAAGTGCACTGCTAGAGCACAGGTTACCCTAAGTGTGGGCCACGGGGCGGGCCCGTGCTGAAGTACTCGAGGAGCGTCCCGAGACCCTGGGTTCAAGTCCCAATACTGGGCGATAAGAAAAAAGGGATATGGGGCCAAATGCCAAAGAAAAACCAAGTATTTCATCTTCCTCATTTTCCATCTGTCCATTAAAGCCTCAAAGCCTTGTACATTAAAGTGAGAGGACAGGTTTTCAGGGCTCAATTAGATCTTTGGAATGCAGTCAGACTAAACTCACATAAAGTAGCAAAATAACACATGTAGAATTAAGAGTAAAAAACAGATAAATCAGTGAGGTCTGAGCTTCCTAAGCAAGAGTGAAATTACTAAGTTCAGCATGGTGGTGCATGCCTGTACTTCAGCACTCAGGAGGCTGAGGCAGGAGGATTGTTGCGAGTTCCAGACCAGCCTGGGCTACAAAGTGAGCTCAAGGCCACCCTGACTGCAAAATGAGACCCTGTCTCAAAAAGACAAAAAATAAAAACAGAAGAGTGAAATTCCTCGTCCCTCTGTTCCTGCTGCTATGAGCCTTCGCCCTGATCCCACTGTTACCCAGTCAAGCCAAATGACTTAGGCTAAAGCAGCAGCTGACACTTGCCGAGTGCCCACTGGGGCCTGAGGCAGGCTGAGCCAGAGCTCGTGCACGTGGCGCTCACAGCCAGCTCACCACACACCAGGAGCCTGAACTGGCTAAATGCTCAAAGGACAGTTGCCAGAAGCCAGGGATGCTAATTATTTTTTTGTAAAAATCTGCCAAAGGCAGAAGATAAGTACTCAGCATCTGGCTGGCTGCCATTCCTTTTAAATGATAAGACCTTAGCTGATGTACCAAAGGACACTGATTTGTGACACCATTCCAGGAAAGAGCACAGTAATTTGAATAATCATTTCACACGGAATCGTTCTTTATTCAGTGCACAACAGATTCACTATGTGAAAGATATAAAAAAGTAAACTGGAATCTAAATGACCATTTACAGTAAGTGTTATAGGTCAGAAAACTTCCAGTCATAAATAACTGTCCTGAGAACATATGATTTAACTAATACTTAAAGTGGTTATGGCTGCAAACCTGGCTTCACATAAACTTCGTCATTTTTAAAAGGTACATATTCAGGTAGCATTTATTTAAATAATTAAGAAATGCCACAGGAACTCTCTATGAGAGCAGCCTTCTTGAATTTCAGAGAAGGGAAGGGTGGTTACTCCAGGGGCAGACTTCTGGCCCCCATGGGATTCCCCACCAGGCAGGCTCGCTTGTACTAAAGCCGCAAGACACCAAGAGTGCTGGCCCAGTAAGCAGGTTTGGTTCATAAAACAAAGTGGCTTCAAAGACCAATGCATGTAACTGACAATTTAGCGAACAATGTGATACAGCTGTGCAAGCTGAGATGCAGCATGGATTGTATGTCAGTCATCGTAACAATGCCATTATTGAAAGTTTACACTAACATTCTATCTTACTACATTATTTTAAAGTATAAAATACTGGATGTCTCTCCTTTCTAAACATTTATCAGCCAAATCTGGTGGGATTTTTTGGATGAAGAGAAAGAGCTATAAAGTTTTGTTCATTATTGTCAATAGGTAGTTCAATTCAATGAATGGGACAACTGGACCCCAAGGCTTTTTAATCCTATATCTTTTCCTTTTTGTCTTTTTGACAGAGGGTCTCACTATGTAGCTCAGGTTGGCCTTAAGCTCACTTTGTAGCCCAGGCTAGTCTCCAACATACAGTAATTCTGCCTCAGCCTCTCAAGTGCTGGACACAGGTGTGCACCACCATGCCCCACTCTTTTCCTCTTTTTAAAAAGACAAAATCCAAGCTAAAAGGGTGTCAATAGAGTTCTTCTTAAATTTCTACTTCTAATATTTTAAATCCCTCCTCTTTTTATCATTTACATTTGTCCACACATATTCTACATACCTCAAAGGCCAAGTATAAAACAGTAATATCAGAGCCAAACAAAATTAAAGTGGAAGGCACAGTTGATTGGTCTCTTAACAGCACTGGTCTCTAGAGGCTTGTGCTGCTTTTTTTCTATCTCACTGTTATCAGCAGTTCTAATTTTGGCGGTTGACATTACCTTTCGATACAGTCAAAGCTGGTGACCACTGCGACCTCAGGATATCAAGACAAATACTCCCGTTACTGTTTATATTTGGATGGTAAATTTTTGTTGTGAAAGCAATCTAAACATAAAACAACAGCGACAATCCATGAGTTATGAACACAACAGAATAAATTTGCTCTAGGATAAACATCTTCAACTTTACACAGCCTTAGAGCAGAAATGTATTTATGTAAATTGAATGAGTACCTACTTTGCGGTATAAGTAGTTCTAGCAACTGACAATTTACAAGTAAATAACTCCATTCCCCCATTGCTTCCCCCAAAGAACTAAGAAGTATTTTGGAATGCAAAGTAAGTCTACCCCACCTGGCAGGACTGGTAGAGTGGCATCTGAGCAATTAACTTGGGTTTCATCAGACCTTGAAGTAATTCTGTCCATGTGACTATCAGTCACATCTGGAAGTGCCTCCTGGCTCTAAGCACAGGGTGTTGGACCTGCTTCAGGGCCAACTTGCATGGCCTCAGCTTGCTGCCTGTCCTACCACATCCACCAAGATTCTTAATTTTCCCCAGGAACTGCTGTCCTGTGTCATACATATGCTTTCAATCAGTTGTTTTAAAACCTCTAACATAATTTTCCTGAGTGGCAGACCTGTTCATTCTTCTCCACTGTGGTATCCCCATCATTTGCTTCCTAAATCTCTAGAGCTCATTAAATAAGCTCATTAAACATGTCTTTATCTCAACATCTTTACTTCTGTATCTCCAAGTGTTGCAGGACAAAGTAGGTGTTCAATGAATGTTTATTGAATATTTTAAAAGACAAGTTTGGTTTTGCAAAGATAATCCCTTCTAGAAAAGTTTGATTCCTGACTATAAAAACTTCCCAAATTACATATACTTAAAGGGGGGAGCAGGAAACTAATTTACACAGTAGGTTGGTCTTTTGTTTTATAAACATACATGATACAATATTTGAGCGAGAGCGTATTTTTGAATCTGGTTTTACAGGACCATTTGAGCATGCTAATGTACCCATGGTCTTGATATCATGAAATCATCTCTGGAAAAACAGTAAAATCCCTGACACAGGAATCACATCAATCACAAGAATAAAAGTACCTTTGGTGGCTTAAAAGGATAGTCTGTCGGAAAGTGTACAGTGAGAAAGAAGACTCCGCCTTGATACGCGCTATCAGGCTGCAATAACAAGACAGATGCATCAGCGCTTGATTACTGCATTTATTTAACCAAATACTAGGTTTGAAAAAAATGCCATCTTATTTTAAGTGCTTTCATGACATATTATCAGTTTGAAAATACACAACCAGTGAGTCCTGAGTGCAAATCAGGGACCCTGAGAACAGATGGGCACCCCTTGCAGACAGGCAGGAGACTTTTCAACAATCATAAAGTTTGAAATAAAACAAAAACACAAACAGTGGTGTGATTTGCCAAAGAGATCTGTTCATGAGGTCAGTACATGTGAAGACTGCTGTGAGAAAAGATAATTTTCTGTAGCAGTAATCAATATAAAAAAGGGTCCTGCCTGGTACTATACTTACCTTTTCACTTATAAAATGTAAGTTCTGATGCTCAGACAGGCTCCATGAGTGAAGAGACCCAACTCAGCCCAAGAAATGGCTAAGAGCCACCTAATTTATCTCTCAACACTTTATTTAGTAACAGTTTATGAAATAATGTAGAAAATACAAAAAATCCCAAGAAGTAAACTCAATATTCATGGAACTATCAAATTAGAAATCAACATTAGAAGTTTTTAATTTGGTCATTTTTAAAATTAAATCAAAGATAGGTTAAAAAGAAAACGATAGAAAAACATACCTAAAATTCTATTTTAACCTCTTCATATTTAATTAAATATATTGTGATACTAATATTTTGGTAACAAAAGCAAAGACTTTTTACTTTAGTTTCTACTTATGTAGTAGAGGACTGTACTGTATAGTTACTTTTACTATATGTTTTTTAATTCTAGTTGATAAAAAATGACAAGGAATGTAGAAAATATAAGCAAATTACTATGATAAATATGGTCTGCTTACATATTCAAATGATTATGCAGATCATCTAAGAGTACATGTTTATTAAAATAAGAGAGGGCATGAATAACAATGGTGGTTATTTACTATGTATTTACCTAAGAAATATTTATGAAAGGCTAGCATTGAAATGGTAGGGGAAGAGGGCTGGCTTATCATGCCAGCCCCACCACTGGGGCACTGAGACAGCAAATGAGATTGGGCATGATAGCATGGGACTGTCATCCCAGCTCTTGGGAGGCTGTAAACAGATGGATCACTAGGAGTCCGATCTAACAGTGAGACCCTGAACACCCTGTATTCCCTTCCCTAAAATACAAAAACACAAAGTAAAACAAACAAACAAATGTAACAAATGGTAGGGGAGGCCTTTAATGACGGCATTTATGGTTCTTAGTAAGTAATAAAAAACATGTAGAAATAGGTAGGTTCTTACTGAAATTGCTATATAAAGAATGATCAAAGTATATGGCAAATGTTTAAATTTTTAAAAAATTATTACAGTATAAGACACAGTGCCATTAATCCCTGCCCCACACACCTCCCTTCTTTCTGCACACACTCATCCCATCGTGCCTGCCACTTCCTCAAGCAGTCACAGAAGTCCTCTTTGTGAGCATCTTTATGAGGTGGGATTGGAATTCAGTGGGAGACAGCTGAGGAAAAAAGGCTTGTAAAAACATCAGCACGCGTCCTCATCCATCTTACTCACCAGACCCGGCACCTGCAACTTCTGGCTCTTGTCCAAAGCCAAAATGACTAGGAGAGTCGCATGTTCTGCATCAATTCATGACACTGAGGCAGGCACAAAAGCCTGTGAATGCACTCAAGGGAAGAGGACTGGCAGAGCTAAGTGTGTTCCAGTACAGGGGGTGTACTTTGAGAGGGCTTCATGGACATGTGACTTTTACTGTTAATACCTTTTGAAACTTAAAACATTCATTGTATTTTTCAATATATCCTGTACGTTGCACTTTTACTCTTTAATGTAACAACTGAACAATTTAGCAATTTAAGATAACTCTCCAACAATCTTGTTTTGAAACTCAGTAAATTTTTATTGTTTTAAATGAAACAGAAGGCAATGTGCTTAAGAACTCCATTACTGTGTAGATAAAGCTCCTTTAGGAGAGGAGGGAGTGAGTGATGTGCAGCAAAATAAGCTACTTATTGTACTGCTGGTTTTTACTGGTCTATTGAAAGGAGCAGTTAATGCTTAACTTTTTTTTTGGGGGGGG